GGTCATCATCTCCATCGGCTACTGACTCACAGTTCCAGACGGCCGCATCTCAGCAGCTAGGGGAGCAGCCTCACCTCCGTGTGGAGCCCCAAGTCGCTCATAAACACGCAGTCCAGCCCTGCTCAGAAGCCTTGAACGGTACTAGGCACTGTGAATCCCAGCCACTCTGGCCTCCTGAGCTGGCCAGCCCCGAGTGAGGGCCATGTGCAGACTGGCTGGGGATACTTCCCAGGTGGGGCTGTGTCCTAGGCACCTAGGGTGCCTCAGCAGGAGGCCCTGAGCTCTGGCTTCAGGAGAGCAGAAAGCCATCCATATCTACTGAGCAAGGCCAGCCTTGGCCTCGGGGGTGTGGGGCACCCTGCTGCAAGGTAAGCAAGGCAAATCATAAAAACACATTTTTAGATAGATATAAACATAAAAGAGGCATTCCATACTCTGCGTCTATGTATCACACATGGGGTGTCACCTTCCCTACCAAGCCCGGAGGAGCGCGCAGAGCCCTGAGTCACCTAGAAGGATGGGTGTGAGGAGAACTCACGGAGGAGCCCTTTAGAACCGAGTCATGGAGCTCCCAGCATGTTCCAGAGGCTGTGCGCCATCTCATCCGGCCCAGAACATCCCCAGCGCTGGTACAGTGGAAGCGAGGCCTGGAGACTCTAAGTATCCGGCTGAGGGTTGAGAACGCTGGAATACAAACCCACACCTAGCTGACGCCAAAGCCTGCGCCCCTGAACACCTGCCATAAAGTAACCATGGCTGCAACCTGCCTCGAAATCCCCGACCACTGAACGGACCTAAGTCCAGGCCCAATGCCGGACACACTGGCTCACAGCCCTTGGTTTTAAATAGAAGTAAGTGACCTTAAGGAGCCAGACCTCGTGTGTGCGAGCCTGAGAGGTTAAAAAGGGGCAGCCCCGGAGGAGAGAGGCGCAGGGCAGGCTTTGAGCCGCTGACTGCCCGCTGTCACCCAGGGCCGCTGCGAACGCCCAGGGGAGGCACAGGAGTGGAACTTGGACCCATGAACCAAAACAACAACAAAACAGCTTTCTAAAGACGAAACAGGGGCACAGGTAAGGAGGCCCACAGGGGCAGCAGGAGGTCGGGAGGCCTCACTGTGGCAGTGAAATTGGGGTTTGTACTTTCTTTCTGTGTACTTTATGACAAGTTATATGAACAAAATTCCATAAATATAAAACCAGGCTGGACAATAAGAGATGGGAGTTCACATTCAAACAAGAGCCCTTTAGAAAGCTGACTTTTCAAACAGCCTTCCTGAAACTTTACATATTCTAAAACTCTACAGATTTATTTTTAAATTTTTTTTATTCTTCATGTCTGTAGTACAAGTGACTATACTTATAACATCTAAAACTCTACACATTTGAAATCTGATCACCACGGACCAATATGGAACTCTGGAAGCATAGGACAGTCAAGGTAAGAAGAATCCACTGTGGAAGCCAGAAAAGCCTAACTCCAAAACAACCAAACAGTTACCAGAGGCTGGGGAGGGGACGGGGAGATGGCAGCCGAAGGACGCAGGCTTTTTAGCCAGGAAGAATGGAGAGCTATTGCCTGTGAAGGTGAATGTAGTCAACAGTGAGAGACAGAGGGAGGACAGGCAGGAAAGGAGGCAGGAAGGGAATTAGGATGTTAGGACGTTATGTCCCAACTCCCCGCAATGAATGCAGTCGTGAGGTACCACAAATATACTATTGAAAATAAAAATCACCAAGCTTTCCTTCCATCAAAAAAGAAATATGTGAGTGGTGTATATATTAATTAGCTTGTTTTAGTCGTCTCACGGTATCAACATTGTTCTACTGGGGACGCTGAGGCAGGAGGGCTGCTGTGAGCTCAAGCTCAGCCAGAAATAGATCCTGTCTCAAAATACAAAAACCAAAAATGCTTTTTTGTGCTATTTTATTTTTGGCACTAAACCTTTCAAAGCCAGGTACATTTCACAGTACCACACAGGTACTCATGGCCACACACAGCCAGTGGCTACGGTGCTGACAGTCCCGTCATGTACTTGCCCTGGGATCGTAAGAAATGTTAACACTTAAATTTCTGTAATTCCACTTATTGGGATTATTTCAGTCATTCTAATCCAAACTATTTAAAACTGCAATGGTGTGAAACTTCTACTGCAATTAACAGAAGATACAGCGTAGCTAAAAAAAATCTCAACAACTTTGATGTCACGAGAAATAAAACATGATAAAAAGCCAATGGTACCTTCCCTTAGTATACGTTAACCCTTCTCCAGTTCAGCCCTTTACACACAGCCAACAACACCCCTCTTCCCCAGCTGTGTTTTCTGGAGCAAAGCCCAGGTGAACCCCTCACCCGGAGGGGTCAGTTGGTCCCTTCCTGGGGACCTCTGCTCCAGGCTTTGAGGTGCTAACCCCTCCCTGCACAGGGGCCGAGTCACCAGGGCAGACGATCTTACCAGGTGGAACCGGGAGTGACCAATCTTCTAGAAAAGCAAGGGATGTAGCTCAGTGGCACAGCACCATCCTGGCAAGCACAAGGCCCTGAGTTCAATTCCTGGTGCCAAAAAATAAATAAAATCAAGACACAGATGCATAGCAGGGGCCAGAGCAGCACTGCTATCTTTAGTATCATGAAATATTCCAATATCTCAATTTATCTTCCTCTTCTCTTAAAATAGTTTCTCTGCCTTGTAATTAAGAATCTTAGTGTATAATGAAAACGATTTTAGTGAAAGTATTTGTCCTTGAACCTTTCAGCAGATCTGTGACCAACTCACGCGAGTCCGGGCCAGGCACTGCCCGGGGGCACAGAACCTGCCTCTGCATGGTCCCAGACTTGAAGTTCTCCACCTGAAGGGGGCGGGGTCTTCCTTGCTAGCTCTGCTGTAACCCAGAGTCCTGCATGGCCTTCTCTGAATGAATAACTGTAACCTTCACACACTATAATCAAAGACTTACATGAAAAGCTCCGCAGTTTCACATAGTAGAAATAATAGTTCTGCTATTAGAAGCCCTAAACTCCAAGTCAAGCAAAATGGAATAACACTTTTCTTCTAAATTCACCTATCAGAAATGTACTATTTAAACCGGGTGTGGTGGCAGCCTCCAGTAATCCCAGCACTCGGGAGGCAGAGGCAGGAGGATTGTTGAATGCTCAAGACCAGCATAGACTACAAGGTGAGCTCGCAGCCAGCCTGAATTGCACAGGAGACCTTGTCTCAAAAAGACAAAAAAAAAAAAAAAAAAGTACTATTTATCGAGTGCCCATTACTTGTTTTGCAATTCCAATAAATAGTAACAGTCGGGCTAGGGATTTAGCTCAGCGGCATAAGCGCCTGCCTTGCAATCAGGCAGTCGTGAGTTCGATCCCCGGTACCGATAAAAAGAAAATAGTATTTTCTCGTTTTAATTCTGTGAACTGGGCGCTTCCCTCACACATATGGGCACGCGGAAATGTGCTGTTCAGGTGTCCCATGAAGGACGTGGCCCCAGCTGACGCCGAGCGGCTGGGTGCTGGCTGGCCTCATGGCATGGCTCATCTCAGCGCTCTGGCCAAACGCAGGCAAGCCGGAGGCCCCTGGCCCCTGAGCCGACAGCAGCGGGTCGAGGTCTGCACCGCAGCTGGCCCACCGCCGCTGCAGGCAGGAGCTGCCCCCTCTCCCGGTGACTCCGTGCTCCCGGCCCGCTCCAGGGCTGCACCTGGGACACTGCCACTGCCGCGTGCGCCCACCTGTCAGTCACACGGCAGCCCCCACTTCGGGCTGGCGCCTGCACTCTAACAGCATCTCTACATATTGATGTATATCTTTATATTGTCGATTGCGCACTTTAAATATTACGGATTTTCAATGTATTTCACTGTACTGAGTAAAATACAATATTAAAAAGCTTTAGGACTTCTGAAATACACCGGACCTCAATAGCGCCACCTGCTGGTACCTAGTAGGAACGGTTCACCCAAAGGCAGGAAAGCTGCGCCTTTGGGGCCGGGTGATCCACCTTTCTAGTAGCCTCTAATGTGTGCTAGGTGTCTTCCTGGGGTCAGATACCCAAGATGAATACTAAATCATTTTCCTGCGGTTGACAAGTACATCAGGCCTGCTTCCCCTTCTCAGAGCCTCAAGAGGACAGCAAACACCCCCCGCCCCGTGCCGTTTACTTACCCTGCTCATTTCTCCTTTCAGAGACACCTGTACCTGACAGTGGACAGCACCTTTCACCTGATCGGCCAGTGTGAGGCCCAGGCGGGCAGGGCCACTGGTCAGCTGATTCGGTGTTCCGTCCACGCGCTTGCAGGCAGCGTAAAGGAGGTTTTCAAGTGAGCGACTCTCAGTGAGCTCCTGCAGCGAGACCCTCTTGCAGCGGGCGTGGGAAGGCTGACCTGCAGTCTGCTGTTCACCCAAGACCTCGGGTAAGCCGTGAGCAACGCAGACGCTCGGCGGGTCAGGAGAACCGAGGCCCGGCAGGAGGAGGAGTGAAGGCCGGGCGAGGCCTGCACCCGCTCCACTGTGCTGGGACACGTGGCTGCTGAGAGGGAGCTGAACCCTCCTGCCCTGGGACACAATACCGAGCCCTGCGGCCTGGGTGGGCAGAGGTTTACCTGGGCTCACATTTCAGTCCTCACACGCCCGGGGAGTGCTGCACTTGGCGTGGTGGCCACGAAGCAAGGGAAGGCAGGACCGGGGCAGGAGATAACACTTCCAGGTCACAGCCTTCCACCCTCACCCAGATCCTAACAGCAAGCCAGCTACAAGCGGCCATCATGCAGTGGCCTTTCCAAAGCCACGCCCACGGCGCCGAAGCCCTCGGGGACATCAAGGCACAGCCACGCTACAAGGACACTGGGTGCAAGAGTTTGCAGGGACACGGAAGTGCTACCTAGAAGGCCCCGGCCAAGTGCCCTGCAGGGCTTCAGGCACCCAACGCACCCACAGAAGGTCCCAAGATGGGACCGGATGGGCGCGGGAAGGTTAAATGATCAGTCAGTTAAAAACATAAAAGGTGTTAATTAGAAAAAGTATTTATTCGGCTCCTTTTATCCATTTTACTGCCGAGGAAACAGTCCACGTTCATATCTGAGACGCGACAAGATGGCACGCACGAAGGCGGAGTGCCGTGGCGAAGCAGACCGATGTCCAGTTCTCGGCGACTGAATCTGCTTCCTGATGTGACAGTAATTTTCGGAAATCAGAAACAGCATCTCCAGAAATGCTGAGGGCTTTGTAAAAAATAACCACTTTATTCAATATTACAGTTTAAGAAGTTTTCTTTAACAAATGAAAAATTAAGAAGAAAATGCCACTTAACATCACATCAGAATGGGGCAGCAGGAAAAAAATACTGTGATAAACTTGTCTCTGATATCAAAAGCTGTAGTCCGAGCTGCAAACGCCTCCTGTGTTTTCACCGGTCCTCCTCATCGCTGCTCTTCTTCTCCCTCATCTCACAGGACAGGACTGGTACGGCCTTCGCCACCGTGGACGGGGCGGGTCCGCTGACTTCCTTTCCACAGGCAGCTAACCCATCAGGTAACCCCTGCCGAAACACGTGTGCAGCGGAGGGTGAGAAGGAGGCAACAGGCCACGATGTCACATTTTATGATGAAGCAAGTCAGAATTCAAAAGCGTAACTGCCATTCCTTACTATGGTTCATGTTTATCTTCCCCCCTCGTTCCAACAAACAAAGTACTAGGACTCAGCTCTGTCACTCTCTTCCTCAAGGAGATGAAGTTACACAGCAAATACAAGGGTTGAGCAAACATACAGCACATGCTTCAATTTTTTAGCTTATTAAGGTCAAGTTTGGTGGGGCTCGCCTGCAATTCTGGCAACTGGGATGCTGAGGCCGGAGGATTGCTCTGAGTTTGAGGCCAGACTGGCTACACAGTGAGTTCAAGTCCAGCCTAAATTACACAGCAAGACCCTATCTCCAAAAAAAATGAATAATTAATTAATACAAATAAAGAAATCAACCAGTCTCTTTTGGATTCCCAAAATCACAACCACCAATTCTCTGTACAGAAAGGAACTGCTGGGTGTCTAAAAGCCCTAACCCCTGAGGAAGCCGAGGCTGAGGAGGGACGCCTGCCGGCAGCCCTCGGGCCCCCAGCCAGTGTGCAGCGTCAGCCGCACCGCTGTCCTCTCAGCAAACAGGAGAGCGGCCAGGGCTGCGGCTGCACCCGCATCGAGGTGCCCTTCACATCGGGTACCTAAGAGCTCCTTCTCTACGTGCTCGCACCGACCCGAACAGCTTTGTTAATGACAGCAGTAAACCTGGTGTTCCAGAGGCCCAGGCTTTCCTTTAATAAATCCCTGCAGTCTACAAAGAATCCACAGGAGCAGAGAAAAGCAGAAGTGCACGGAACTGTTGGCCCTGGCCTGGAGATGGAGCATGGCACCGCCCGAGCCGGGGCCCAGCCCGGACTCCCAGCTCCACGCCAGGAGACACAGTGCCGTGCCGTGCGGGAGGGACAGCCTGCAGGGGCAGCTACTCTCAGTCACCAGCACTTGGCAACGGCGGCTCCCGCAACAGCCTCAACTCCCCCCGTAAGGCAGGCTCTGAGAACCACCTTCCGCCACCAAGGCCTCCCACGGGCCTGCATGGAGCACACACAGGCCTGTGTCTCCCTTGGGCTCCAGACCCAGATCCAGGCGCAGCCAGTGCCCCACGGAGCGCGTCCTCTGCTGCACCATCAGCCGCTCATACAGAAGCCAGCCTCTCAAGGGTACCTGCCCTGCCACCAGCGCAGCCCCTTCTAGCTGCCCACTCCCGTGGTGCCCACGCTGCCCAAGGACCCCACGGAACTCGCCCTGCACCCAGCAGACTCCCACAGCTCAGCTTGACAACATAAAGAAAGCCCTAGAAGGTCTGCAGCAAGTGCCTGACACCCACGCCAGACCCAAGAAGGCAGTCTGCAGACAGCTGGTCCTGGCGGAGGTGACCGGGCCACGTCCAGGCCTCTGCCGCCGAGTGCACGCCCTGGCCCTCTGTGCTGGAACCACTGTGCGACTGTGCTTAGCACCGAAACCCACAGCTCACTGGGGACAACAATGGCATGGAAAAAAGGAAGAGCTAAGCTGCCGCGTCCGGTTCCATGCTGCTAAGCTAACACTTAGTTCAACCTTAAGAAAAACTAAGGGCATGCGAAAAATAGTACTATGCTTTACAGATTCAGTGTTACGGGGAAAGAGCTAATAAATCAGCACCACAGTTCCCTCGGAGGAATCACATGTGTTAAAGCCAGGCACAATAGCTCATGCCTGTAATCTCGGAAGAACATTCTCCATGAGTTCGAGGCCAGCCGGGGCTAGATCCATAGACCTTGTTTCAAAAACCCAAACACAAACGCACTGAAACACATTTACCATGGTTTCCTCTGGAATCATTATTCAGCCCAGAAATCTCATAATCTCTGACTGTCATATTCAGGGCTGTGAGAATGTCCCACAAGTATGATGGATCAGTACCATCATAAAGCCTGGCATGGTGGCACACACCTGAGATCCCAGCATCAGGAGGCTGATCACTGCCACACAGGAGGCCAGCCTGGGCTACATAGTGAGTTTGAGGACAACCTGAACTACATAGCAAGGCTCTGTGTTGAAAAAGAAAAACAAAATCATAAAATAAGCATACCAAGAACTCACAAACCAGGCAGGAAAAGCCACCACCACAAACCTTCTGTTCAATCTGCACTGAATATTCAGTGAGTGCCCGCTGCGTATGAAGGCAGGCATTGTGCCGGCGTAACACAAACTTCCCCAAAACAGTGTGACCGCATCATGTCTAACCCTTGCCACCATCCTCACACAGTGCACAACACTGCACAACAGCTAACAGTGTCACTCAGAGGCAGTGCACTCCTGAGCATGTGCCAGACCCCGAAGACGGGGCTGCAGGGCTGCAGGGCTGCAGGGCGGAGAAGGAAGCGGTCTGCGCAGACTCCTGAGGCCGCCACTGAGACAGCGTCTCCGCACTGCGCTCCGCCACCATCTCAGGGGCCCTAACCCAGAATCCGCGCGCTCCCCTGCCCCAGTCATGGCTGACTCATTGATGCTCAAAACTGTGGCTCCAATCCAGCCTGAAACACGGAGCTTTTAGGATCCTGTTTGTCTTTGACATAAGAACACATGCACATTAAAGCTGACAGCACAGACGCTCCCAGGCTGGTCTCGGCAGGGACTCCCAGGGGTGCATACTGACCTCATCCAACACCTGGGAATCCAGGCCGCCAGGGCACAGGGCCGACCCAGAGCCCACTCCGACCCCTCCTGTCCTCCGCCACGCACTCCACCACGAGCTCCACGGCAGCTACACGCCTGCCTTGTTTCACGGAAGAGCCTCTCACACACCTGGCGGCCATGAGCTCTTCCTGGGCTGGGACAGACTAAGAGGCCACGCAGAGGCGGGAAGGGAGCACCTTGTCTGCACACCTAGCAGGATCTTGGAGAAGGGGCCCAAGTTGAAACCAAAATCACTTGCCAGTCACAGATGGCTCACACACGCAGCCTAGTGGTAACTTCTATAGTATTTTAATAATTTGTACAGGAAACCTAGTTTCATGGTGTGGGATTTTCCATCAGAGGCACCACATCACGGCTCTAAGTTTCCACGTTTGGATTTCAGATGAGGCACGCTCAGCCTATACATACTCAAAGAGAGCCGCAGTAAAAGGGCTGAACAGCTCACCTGCTGCTGTATTATCATCACTACTGGAGTTCACCGAAAGATACTTTAAAGGCAAAGAAAAAACTGTAAACTCAGCAGCACCAACTACGTGTTCTCCCGGTCTCTCCAGGTAGCGGCCGGGCACCGCAGGTCGCAGCCCACCAGCCTTTGGCTCCGCGTTTTCACTTTTCAAGTGAGCCATACATTAAATGCATAACTTCATGGGGTCAAGTAATCATCTTAGCAACGTTTAAAGAAAGTTAAACTGCAAGTTACACAGAATGGCACCCAACTTACGGCAGTTTCATCCTCATGAACACTCTGGCCATGAAGAAACTCAACAGCACACAGACGAAGCCAATGAACAGCAGGAGAAATCTGTTGAGCTTTGGAATATTCGGCGCGTTGGATCGGTCCAGGATGATGAAGCCCAGCCCGCCCATGGTGAACAGGAAACTGGAGGCCAGGCCTTCCATGATGTACTGTCCATTCACCCTGAGACAGAGACGCGGAGCCAGTGAGCACGTCCAGAAATGCAGCGCGGCCTGCAGCTCAAGTCTGCATCTCTTCCCCCCGCCAACGCACTTTACGCCAGTTTTTTCCTTAAAACTACTTATCACAAGTGCCCTGGATAACCACCTGCTAGGGGACACTTTACCAAGAACTGCAGCTTTCAGAAGTTAATAGTATTTAAAAGTCTATTCTCAATTTAAATAAATTTTGAATTGGTTAGAAATGTTCCCTGAAGCTTTGTCATAATAAGCTTCCTGTTTCCAAGGAAAATATTTAAAGAACAAATGTTCTTCACTAAGGCAACCTGATCTCCACAAGAACTCCCACAATCTATAAACCCATAGGTATTATAAACAAGGTATAAGATGTAGTTTGCATTAACTGTTTTCATTTAAAATCCAATATATGCACCCTAAAAGGAGACAGGAAGAAAGGGCTTGCTCCTGGTCAGATCGCCTGTCAGGCTGGGCGTGGTGGCGCTCCCACTCAGGAGGCTGAGACAGGACAGTGCTGCGAGTTCCGGGCTGGCTCAGGCTTCAAGTGGGCTTTGGAGAGCAGCGGTTAAGCAAGCCTGCTCAGGGAACCGCGCTGCTCTGGAATGGCGTCCCGCTGTTCAAACTGAGCTTTTAGGTCTCAAAAGTTGTTTTCCAATGCAATGTACAGCACAGGAATCCACCCTGATCTGCTTTCTTAAACGCCCATATAGTAAATACCCTAAGGGCTGGGGATGCGCTCAGAGGCAGAGGCCCCAGGCTCAACCCCCAGCACCCAAGCCAATACCTCGGCTCCTTGGCCACAGGTCTGCGACACCCTCTCCACTCAGCCACTGTGGCTTGAAGGCACCGAGTAAGCTGCTGGTACACTGCTCACTGTGAAATCCCAACTTTCAAGTAAAGGAATAAAACACTTGGCGTCCTCTCGCCCACTGCAGAATTCCACATGGTAAAGCAGCTGTTTTCTTTCTGTTTTTTTTTGGTACTGGGACTCACACTTTCGGGGGAAGCCCTTATGCCGCTGAGCTAAATCCCAGCCCTACAGCAGCTGTTTTCTGAACGCAGATGGAGCCCACGGGTTTCACTGAATGTTTAGTGAGCAGGCCCACCCACCCCAGGGACCTTCTTCCCGCCACCAAACCCTGAAAAGCCATCTTTTACCTGTAGGCCAAGAAAGCTACCGGCCTCTGGTGCCCATGCTCGTCAGTCATGGAGCCAACGCTCGGCGGCTCCACGATCACATCGTAAATTATTCCTGTAAGAGAGACAAGAGTCTGAGCACACTGGATTCCCGGTTTTTAAAAAATGGAATTAGTTTTCATTGTCTCTAAAGGATCATTCACACTTAAAACAGGGCCACTTGTACTGTATTACCACAGTCAAGCGTGATCCAGCTAATCTAAGCTTCCCTGGGCCTCTCAGACGAGCAGCTCAAAGTCTTAGTATGACTTCCAGAACATGACTGCCTCTGAAACAGATACAGCTTCATAAAGGAAACACGCAGGAACGTCGCCAGTACTCAAGAAGGACTCCACAATAAGGGAGATTTAACATTAAAGGGTCTTCTTCCATTAAAAATAATCCACACATTCTTGGATTTGCTTCTATAACCCGACAGGCAACCACAATGCAGAGAAACTTTCTTGCTTAAACATGATCACTAATGGTAAGGCCCAACATTGCACCACATGCCAGGTGATCATCAACATTAATGTCACTGACACTCCCCTGGTCTCCAACACCTTCCTTTCCAGCTTTTCTTTTTGTATTTATTTATTTATTGAAAGACAAGGTCTTTCTATTAACATTTAAGTCGGCTTGGATTCTCTATGTAGCCCAGGCTGGCCTTTAACTCTCTGAGAATCCTCCTGCCTCAGCCTCCCGGAGGGCTGGGTTTGCTGGGTTACAGCTGTAAACCACCACAGCCGGCTTCTTTCAGCTTTCTTAAGCACAGCAGGGCTGTGTCTCCCACACACCAGCCTGAGGAAATAAGCACAGCTAAACATGCAAATCCTCAAGTGCCTGCCATACACTCAGCGACAGTACGAGCCCCAGGCACGATGGTACACACCTGGGATACCAACAGTCTAGCAGGCTGAGGCAGGAGGGTTGCAAGTTGCAGGCCCAGGCTGGGCAAGTAAGGGAAATCCTCTCTCAAAACAAAAAAAAAAAAAAAAAAGAAACTTTAAAAAGGTTTGGGGATGCAGCTCAGTGCAAAGGCCCTGGGTTCAATTCCCAGCACTCCCTCCACCAAAAAAAACGAAAGAGCGCCTGGTCTGTCACTGTGGAGTCCCTTCTGCAGTGATGACACTCCACTGCCCCTTGCCTCTCAGGAACCTTTTTATCCTTTTCCATGCCCCTCCTCTCGCCTGTCCTTGCAGGCCCTCCTTCCCTACAGCAATCCCGGGGACTTCATAACCTCCTAACGTCCTTTGTAAAGGCGCCCAGATTTCCTCCTGGAAACAATGAGGCCCGCTTGCCCTTCTTCATCACCTCACTCCAGCGCAGCTTCTGCACCTGACAGCTCTCTGCTGGGCCACCCACACCGACCGTACTGCCAACCGTCCTGGACACTGTCTGCATCTCGCCCAAGAAGGCTTCCCAGGAGTCTCAAGCCAGTTTATTGACCCAATTTTCTTGAAATTAAGGTCTCTCTCTCTCTCTCTCTTTTCCAGCTACCTCTCTAGCAGAGACTCATTTTTTTTTTTTTATAAAACCATTAGTTACAGTTCCATAAAACCATCAGCTTACAGTTTCTCATGGGCTTGGTCCACGCCCTTCTGTATATTGGCTCCCTAACTTACTCCCAGGGCTTTAACTCGAGATACCAATGATACCAATTCCCCACTTATCAAGGTCTCTCAACTTAGGGTGGTACCACTACAAGCTGGGTAAAAGATCCTAAGAACAAGTAATCAGTCTGTGTTCTTCAAGATCTGACTTAGAGGTTCCAGAAATACTCAAGTAACCAATGGGGACATCTGTTCTCAGTTCTAGCCTTAATATCTGTAAATTTTTTTTTTTTGTCTTTTTCCTTTTTTTATCAGTACCAGGGATCGAACTCACGACTGCCTGCTTTCAAGGCAGGCGCTTATGCCGCTGAGCTAAACCCCCAACCCCAATATCTGTAAATTTACACAGCCAACTAACTATAACCCCAAGTGACCCCTGGTTTTCTATTCCCTTCTAAAAATGCCTGTTTCTTCAATCTCAGAGAAACACACTCCCACCTACTCAATGGCTCAAATTTGAAACTGGGAAGATTCGTTCTCACTTAGTTCCACCCAGCACGCAACCTGTCTGATCTACTGGATCAACTTCCAACACACTTTCATCATTCGACCCTTTGTCTCCACTGCCACCCACACCACAACAGTAGAAGTCAAGCACAAAAGCCATCTGATCAGTCCCTTGGCTCTGCATCTGTCCATACTTCTCCCTCTCCAACTTTCCAAATTTGGGCTTACATGTTGCTGCCTCAAGAATGACATCGTGATCAAAACGACTTTCCTGACTCTATTTTCTCTTATTCCTTATTCTTTCCCTTCACTCTATCTGGGACAATTTGAAATGGTAAAAGTTTTGCGATACTGTCTCAACTACAGCGTTATAAATTCAGGGGAACAAGGTCTTTATGTGTTCACTGTTAAGGGGTTGGGTTATATTTGTTATTTCTTAATGACACACATTGTTTATTTATGAAGGTGCACTCACAATTTTGTGTTGTTTTGAGACAGGGTCTGTGTAGTTCACACTGGTCTTGAACTCACTATATAGCTCAGACTGGCCGCAAACTCACTGTGATCCTCCTGCCTCAGCTTCCAGAGTACTAGAATTACAGGCATGCACCATCATGCTCGCCAGGCTCCACTCACAGTTTTATGAGACTCCTTTCAGCAGCCAAACTACTTGTACAAGACACATCTCATGACCTTGACCGCTATTAAAAGGTGTCCTTTCTACCTCTCCCTGCACCTCGGCTAAAGCTGAGACTCTCCCCCATTACAACCACCAGCAGAGCAAAAGTGGCCAGAAATAAAACTGAAGCTTCCAAAGGAATAATAGTCACAGGATAGGCATTTGCAGATGACTCTGCTATTCATTAAAGTAAAGCATTTCAAATTTCATTTACTCAGCAGTCCCTCCTAATGTCCTGAGCAAGTATTAGTGCTATTGAAATGCTAAGTATTACCTTCTCAAATGGAAGACATTTAAAATGCTACTTACTTAAATGAACATAAATTATCACTATTCTAGAGGGAAAAGGGGGTGAAGAGTTTAAAAAAAAAAAAAAAGCAGAACCACCTCTGCTTTTCTGTAAAACTTTGACTTTATCATCGCTCAACTAAGCCCACCACTTTGCAAAACGTAAAAGTATAGCAGCACAGTCCTGAGCAAATCCTGGAACTGGGCTTGACTGGGAGGCGGCTCAGAAAGTCTGCATCAGACTGCCAACTCAGCAGCGGACAAGGCGACGCCCCTTTGCAGATTTCTACTTGAAAAGGACACGATACGATGCTAATTAAGAAGGTTAATAGCCAGGCTGTTTTGGACTTTTAAAAAATTCTCGACTTCTACCCTCTAAAAGACAGAACCTTCTGCAAACCTCATCTCCAATTTCAAATCTGTATTAAAACCATAATTTCGGAAAATTCTATTCCGACTTACTGCAGTTTAAATCAAAGTAGCGAGACCCTTAAGGGTGAGCTCATGGCCACCTTGGGACTGTCAGATCTCCTAAGGCTGCGCGGCCGGCGAATTAGGAGGGGTCAGAGTCCCGTGCGCTGCAGGCAGCCAGAGTGCAAGGCTGACTCTCCCGGGACCTCCGCAAGGAGCTAAAAGCAACTGAGCCTCGGGAAACAGCTGCAACTCTGTGACCAGAGGACACGAGGGCAGCAAAAGCAGGGGAGGAGCCGCACGAAGCCGGGCGCTAAGCCCCGAGACCCCGGGACCCCGGGACCCCGGGACCCCGGGACCCCGGGACCCCGCGGCCGGGAAGAGACGCGCGGCCCGCCCAGTTCAGCCCCTTTACCTCCAGTGATGAGGAAGTAGGACACCACCACCAGCGCGTACACCGTCATGGCGGACGGCATGTGCACCCATGGCGGCTTCTTCAGCTTCAGGTTGGGACATTCGAGCACCAGGAACGGGACGCGGTACAAAGTCTCCATGTCGGCGGCGACGCTGCCTTCCCGGGCCTGCAGCCCCACGCGCAGCCGGAAGCCGGCCCGCCCCCTCCGCCCGCGCATGCGCAAACCAGCAACGGCAGGTCCACGAAGCTCCGAGAGGGCACTTACCGTACTCACAGAAGAAACGGAGGAACAAAGCAGAACATTTAAAGGATATGACTATGTCTGAATATTACTTAATACTTTTCATCTTAAATTGAAAGAAGAAGCAGGTTTGTTGGCAATGGATAGCCCAGCTATTATACACCTTCACGGACCTGTGAGGTCTCCAACGTGGCCAAGCCAGACTAGCGGAGAGACGCGGATCTAAATAAGCCCCGCCCCACTGCTGACACAGGACTTGGAAGCTGATTGGACACCGGGTTCTTCAGGTTCTCGGAGCCGGTGAATGAATGGGGTCGTTTGCAAAGGTCCTTTTCTAGGTATTGGCGGTTCTTCTAAGGAAAGAGAAAACCCTAGATCACTGAGCTTTTACCTCCCCTTCTTTAAGAATTATAACAATAATAACAATTGTTAAAAATTGCTGAGATAATATGTTATCAGTCTTTTTTTAATCCAGCCCAGATCTGTGACATGTATCAGGACATCTCAGAGAGATCTTGAAGCTGATTTGTAGAATGACCAAAACACTGTTCTCAGTACTGTGACTCAACTTGCCTTCTCGATTCGCAAATGGTAAAATCATTCAGACCCCCAAAATCGTTTACAGTATCATTTCTCTGTTTACCCTCTATTCAAAACATCAATTGGTCTTTTTAGCCTAACTGCTAAAATATCTCTCAGTTTATCTGCTGCCACTCTAGAGTGAGCCATCATTTCTTATCTGAGTTACATTTACAATCCAAATGGACAAAATGCAGGACAGTTCACCTTTGGGGATGGCCAAATGGCCTAAAAAGTCTGTTTTCTGTCCGGTTTTTTGTATAATCCATGAAAGTGCTACAAATGTTACTTTTGGAGTAGGAGTTTAAAGTGACTTACTAAATAAATCCAAGTCAAGTAGACTTTTTGGGGGGCTTGAGACAGGCACATTACTGAGCCGATGTATTTTTTGTTTATGTTCTATTAATAAGCAGTGAGCCACAGATTTTTACAGGATCTCATAAATAGGTTTCTGCACTTTTTTAGTGGGGGTGGGGGTAGAGTACTAGGAATCAAACTCAGGACCTTGCACTTCCCAGGCAGGCACTATAACTACTGAGCCATATCTCCAGCTCTGTGCTTTTAATTAGTTCATAACTCAATTATTGAGAAATGATTTAAAGACTATGAAAACAAACATTTACACTCAAATACACAGGCAACAAAAAAGTGGAAAAAGGAGACTTTGTCCTTTTGAAGGGTGGAGCTGTGACATATTCCCTCCAGGGTAAAGAGTAGTTACTGCGTCTGACTGGTTATTTCACCAAGAAAGACAAACACTGCTTAAGGAACCATTTGGAATTTTGAAATCAACATATGCTTCATTCAGTGATACTATGTTGAATTATTCATCAAGTGACCCAGTAAACTGCTCGTTTTGAGTGGCATCTACAATAAGCAGGGGCTCTTGGCACTTGGGCCTTTGACTTACCAGACCCTGTGCAGGCAGAGACGCCTCTGGAGCTTGTGACAGCACCAGTAGATGAACCACAGCACAAAACTCTGGGCCTTTGGGACAAACCGATGCCACCCTGTAGTTTCTGACTTGCTGCTGAGCCTTAATGCAGACTACTGAGCACGCCCAAGTTTCCATAAAATCTGATCTTTTATGTTTTGGTGTAAGGAATTGAACTCAGGATCTTGTGCTTGCCAGGCAGGTGCCTATGCCACTGAGCTGTATCCCCAGCCCTGAACTATCCATCTTATTTGGCATAATAACCTATTGACTCATAATGAATGGTGGTATCCACAGCAGTATTCGATCATCAAACAAGAGTGTTATATACAAGACCAAGTAGGTCTTAAAGGTATATGGAAGCTGCATCAGAAACAGAACATGGCCTGCATCTATGACACATTTTTCTTTCCCAACATATATTTCCTCCATGGAGAAGAAAATGTGGGGGATCTTCCACACACATCCTACCTAAAAGAAAGAAAGAGAGAGAGAGAGAGAGAGAGAGAGAGAGAGAGAGAGAAAGAAAGAAAGAAAGAAAGAAAGAAAGAAAGAAAGAAAGAAAGAGGAAATCTTCATAGTAGACGGAAGTCTAGCAGGGTACCTGGTTGTTCACTTTGCTTGCAAGGAGTGATGTGAAAGTCTATAATAATTGATGGGCACTAGCTAAGCATTTGGCCGGGTGCTTTGGCTCAGGAAATTAAGAGAAATACAGTTGAAAAATTGCTGTGGACTGAAGGACAATCACGTGAGCAGATGCCCTGCAAGGGTACAGGATGTGAAGATATGCCTGAATGCTCCATAACAAGCAGCCTAGATGGAGGAGGGTGTTCACAATCAGGTTGACAAGATGTAGGCAGAAACTTCTTTCCCCATCCACTTCTGTTCTTGCCCAGGGTGTCCACAGACAATGTGGCCATGGCAGGGACACAGGGTTGCACATGCCTTTCCCTCACCAAGGCTAACTGGGTCGGAGCCACTGTTGTGTGCTGAACGGCAATGAGCCCTGGATACTGTATCGCTCTTCAGAAGGATGAGCCAACTCCCCGGGAAGGTTAATTACAAAGGACAGGACCCAGTCAATCCTTGGTTCTTACAGCAGTAGACAGAGTAGACTCAAATCTTCCTTCCTTACCCCATGCTCCTCCCCAAATCACTCTTCTGTGGACTTAAGGAATCCCTTGTGCATCACTGTGGTAGATCACACAGTACTGCTTCTGGCCAGGGTCCCATTTGACAGCCATGAACTGTAGCAATTGGCTCATGTCCATGAAACTCACAGGTCTCAGGACATGCCCTATTACCTGTAAACGGTTATGTGTCACAGTTACATGGCTTTTTTATGCTAGCAAGCCTTTGAGAGCAGAACAGTGTCTTCCAAGATGTATTACATGCTATAAATACATGATCAATGAATGATGTTGTTCTCTGATAGGATTTAAGAGTCGGTGTAGAAAGCGGAAATGGATCCTCTCCTTGTCCTTTTTAGTGACCCACCAGTGAAATCTTTGCTTCCCAACAACTTTGGGTTGTACTGATCAAGAAGTTTTAGTACTGACTGCAAGAGAGGGAGGGGAGGAGAACAGGATGGAAAAGGACACATCAATGGTCATGTTAATCTGGGAAATGAGACCGCTGGCCATTTCAAGCATCCTCATGACAGAGAATCAAAAGGCAGATAAAAGGGTCTTGAACTCACTACAGGGATGAATTCAGAATAACCTAGGGAAAAGTAGACTCTCACTATAAAATAGCTATAAAGAAAAGTGTGTCTAGGATGCAGACGACCCATTGAGCTCTCTCTTATCTTCTCCTTATCCTCTCATCCTGTAACAAAAAGCCTAGGAAAATGACACGCAAATAGGGGGGCCCAGTTAGTGGCACCAGCCTTTTAGGCCACACCAGCAACAGGAGATTGTCACCAGCTGAGGGTTGTGCTGAGGTCAAAGAGACTATGAAACAGCTTCTAGCGATAAAAAGCATCTATGAACACGGCATCAGTCCCAGACCTAGCAATGTGCTGGTTATGACCATCTTCCTTATTATGAATTTATTTCATATCCATTAACAAGCTCTCTCTCTCCCATTCTACCACATGTAATGTAAAATTTACTAAAAGCAGATTTCTCATGACTTAAGATACTGGCTGTCAAAGAAGGAAGATGAAGCAGGCGTAGTGGCACCTGCCTGTGACCCCAGCACCTTGGAGGTGAGGAGAGTCACAAGTTCAAGCCCAGCTTGGGCAACTTAGAAAGACCTTGTCTTAACATAAAGACCAAAAAAGGGCTGGAGATGTAGCTCAGGGTGAAGACCCTGAGTTCAATCCCCAGTACCACCAGAAAACCAGATGAGAGAGTACGTGCCTCTTGGTGGAAGAGGGATGATTATAGCTCAGACAGATAAGCATTTATGCAAGGGGTTTACTAGGTGCCCTCACAGGCAGAGGTGACAGAGGCCGCAGTGGCCTCTGCGTCCTGAGCGACAGAAGATCCGGGAGCCGCTAAAGCAACAAGCTGGAAGCCACAAGCAAGGGTGATCAGGATGTAGCCCCTCGCCAAAACCAAACGCCTGCAAGCTACCTGAGAGTCGCGTGCGTGAGGAGCCTTGACGGGCTGCAGAAGCTCCAGTCTAATGGCCACAGGAGCAAAAGACGCACCTGCTCTAGCAAAAGGGAGCTCTTCACACGGCCGCCCACTCCCGCCTTCTATTGCACACAGGCTGCAAGGCTATTGGTTGGTGCCATCCACAATTGAGGTGGGGCTTTCCTCTCATTTGCTGGCCTGCATGCCAATCGTCTCTGGAAACGCCCAAGGATACGCTGAAAACTGCTTCATCTATTTTATCTGCAGTGTTTCTTGATCCAGTGACCTTGACATATCACAATAAACAGTTACAGGGAAAAAGCCCATTTCAGCTGGATAAGAGAGGTAACATTATGCTACGAGAAATATCACGTTGCTATCGCCCTATTTGAAACTTACATTAAATATTGTTAAAGAGTTACTGGTGGAAGCCAACTTAAACTGTGGTGCACTTAAAGTGGGTCAGTTTAGCTAAGTAGGAGCTACGTTTCCCAGAATCTTTTCACCACATAACTCCGAATTAGTGTGGGCCCTGCAAGACATGAATGTGTGTTTTTTTACATTAGTTTTAAGAAGATAAATTTCCACTTGATATTTAATCATTGCTGAAACATTAAAAATACTTAAGTGAAAATAGTGGATTAATTACACTATGAAGCATAAATATAGTAGAATACTATACAGCCTCTCAAATGACACCTTGGAAGTTACTGTTTCCTTGTGTTTTTTTGTTTGTTTGTTTGTTTGTTCTTTTTGTTTTTCCTGAAGTGGGTATGTACACAATCAGGATAAAAGGAAGAAAATCAGATTACAAAACTGTATGCGAAGCTTTGTGCATTGAAAAAAGACTACAGGGACATAAATATGACTA